AAAGGTACTAGAAATGATTTTTTTTTTTCCACAGCATGTGTTTTTTGCCCATTTTGTTTTGTGGGGTTTTCTTTTACCACTTTTACTACATTTCAAAATTTTAATTTCATAGGTTTTGAGTCCAAGTTACTGCAAGAAGCCCAAGTCATGTCAAGATTTACTGTGGAAAACGAGCCAGCTTTTTATTTTTGTCTTCTAGGGAAGTTTATGGTAGAGTGAGATAAACATCCAAAATAGTTAGGGCTGTTTATCCTGCATCACTTAGAAGACATTCTTGATATCACTTGTATACAACTGAGCTGGGGAGCTGCTCAATCAACGCTGACAGAAATGAAACCCAGATCACCCATCCTTAGGGCATACAGACCTTACTTCAGTGTGATAAAATCTGCTTCTGTTGGGATAAAACCTGAACTGCTCATAGAGCTCCTCTTGTCACAAGCCAAATTTTGGTGCATAAAGGCTCCTCCTCCAGTTGTATTCCTTCCAGGGACACAGTCATTATTTCAGGGAACTTTACCTCACCCTGACATATCTCTGTAGTATCTTGGGGCTTGCAAGGGGAGATGAATATTGCAAAAGGATCTGGTGCCATGCTTGTCCAGTGTAATGACTTTAGTATTGACCCCAAATCTGCAAGTCTTAGACCTGCAGAGCAGTGATGCTGGAAGCTACCAGCAGGTAACTCAAGGCAACACAGAATCTTCAGAAATTTTTCTCATTCTTTTTTGACTCTACAGTTTGATGATGCCTGCCTGACAGTAGCAGGGGGAGACATGCTGAAGGTGAAGAGATTGGAAAGGCGTTTCCCTGAAACAACTGGAAGTCCCAGACTTGTTATTGACTAGGGGAGAAGCTAAGAAGGGGTCTTGGCTGCATTGTTCAGTGATGCTGAAATCCACTTTGTCCTTTACCTGTGTAAGCAAGCTCCTAGGTTTGGTAGTATATGTGCTGCTCTTTGCATGAGTATTGATTATAAAGTTGTTTATTCCATGTATAAAAAGCTTGATGTGCCCTTTAAAAGCTGCTCTAAACCCATTCTGCAGGAACAAAGCCTGTGAACATGTCTTTTCTTTCCTCTGATTCTAATCTCATGCACATAAAAGCTTAAACCACTCATTGCAGTGAAAATATCTGTGATTTGCAGTGCAGGATGAGTTCTTTGCTGGTAGATATGCTGGTAACAAATGGGCTGAGGAACTCACTCACTCTCATACTCGAATCAAGGAAAGCTTGAGCCTGACTCACTTAGGAATGCTTTGTAGTCCCCTAATTGCATAATTACCTTAAGAGAGCTCACTGGCCATTTGGCACGGAGGTCATGCCTGTTTCCTCTGAGCACAGAATAACTCCTCCTAGCTTCTCCTAGCAGGATAAAAAGGAGATGAGAGGAAGACATATGGCCATGGCCCCACTTTTCCTCTGTATAATCCAGGAGCAGTATTTGTGCACAATTACAAAGTCCTTCATTCTCTGAAGTGAGGATGGGAAAGTTGGCATTTATGTAACATAAATCAGCACTTTCACCTTTGCACTGAGACAGTATCTGTATTGAAAGGGATAGTGTGATATTCTGGGGTGTTTGGTACTGGTACTGGCGACATCTGAGTTCTAATAAATGGGATTATAAAAAAGTGAGGGAGATGCCACAAGCAGAGGAATCTTCCTCACAATACTCCTATGCCATAGAGTTAGTCTGGCTGCCAAGCAAAGAAAACAGACATCTCCGCAACACCTTGTTCTCAAAAGCAATAAGTAAAAAAAAGTTGCGAATAATATAAATATTATCAACAATTACAATCGTGCACAGCAGATGACAAGTGAAGTGAAGGGACCTGAATGTCCTGAGAAAAATAGAAAACGAACTTGCTGGTTGTATTAAGGGAATCAAAGGAAGATTTGGCTGGAGAATTCTCCTGAACCTCTAGCAAACTCAACAGTACAGTTTTCAAGCTCACGCCATGTGTAGAACTGGTAAGGTAAGTAAGTCTGCAAGATGGAACAAAAGGAGAAAGATAGAAATGAATGATAGCGATAGCTGAGGAGGAGGTATCTAAGTACAGCCATCTTTAGTCCTCCTGTTGCTCTCTTGTTCTGGAAAATGGCTGGAATTTGCGGTCCCTCTTCCTAACCATTTTATTAACGTTATCCAACAGTAAATTTGAAAGTTAGAATTCTGCTTTGCAGATTGGTGACAGCATCACTATGTAGTCAAACTTCCATCCAGCTCTCCCCTTCATTACACCTATCGATCTACCATCCTTCATTGCACTCTGATGCATCTTCCATTCGAAGCACCTAAAACACCTCTTCTCCTATCCCCCTTACAACCCACCAGCTAATATCCCCTAACATGTAACGGAGCACATACACACTCCTCTCACTCAGTTTCTGAGTGAAGATACTCAAGGCTGCTGTACTTCCCGCTGATGCGAATGCTGCCGGTGCGTTTCAGACTTGCGCACAGGACACCTGCCTGATTGGCCCTTCAAGAGTTGTAGATGGATGTGAATCCAAGTGGTCTGGTATATCTAAGTTACTTTATTAGTATAAACTTTGGTGTCCATGGGATTCTCAGCTGTGTGCTTGGATTGGCAAGAGTGTTTAAGATTACTCATTTGTTTAGAGGTTCATGATGGCTACTTAAATCTTTCCTTCTTTTTTATCAGCGTCTTTTTAAGTAGTGGGAAGCAGAGCAGTTTAATGCCGACTGAGGCTGCATTAGCTTCCCCTTTCTGTGAGAAACCTCTGCTTAGAAGGTTCTCAAAGTGAAAGTGTTTGCAAGAGAAAACAGCTGGGAGACACTCACATCCAAGCCTGGCTCTGGCGAGTGGAGCTGTTCTTCCAATATAAAGGGAGCATCGTTCTAAAGCAAGAGAAATGTTTTGAGGAGAGGAAGGGAAAGGAAAGATCTTGATTCCTAAGCTGAGAGAGAACTGGTCAGTAGTTTATCAAATCGAAGGCTAATATCCAAGACTGATTTGGTTCTCACAGACGTATGTATATCTGAAGTATGGACTTACGCAGAGCTACATCTAACTGAACCCAACTGAATTCAGAGGAAAGTCAGGCTCTGGCTCCCAAATGCTTTTGTTATCAAACAAAAAATAGGCAATGCTTCTGTTCTTTGCATGCGTTTTTGAATCATCCTCCCGGAGAGTCAAGGAGTTAGCATGCCATAGTGTGGGTGGCTGCCCTAGGGATCAAGGAACACCAGACAGAGTCTATAGTAGAGCTTCTTGCATTAGGATGGCGGCAGAGGAAACTATACAGAAAATGCAGTCCAGGAAAGAGTTCTTAGAAGATGAAGTAGGGATTAAGGCAGAGCCTATTTTACCATTTGCGAAAATGCTCAGTGCATTTGCCTTCATGGCTTCTGCATTCCAGAGGACTGCATGCTGCGTTAATAAAATCCCTCTCTTGAACAGCCTGTGGAGACTAGGATGGTCACTGACTGCCCGTACGGCAGAATTTGGCTATTGCGATTAGACAGCTGCAGGGAGCTGAGAACAAGAAAGGGGAGACAGCTCCAAAGTGTTATGGACACATAGACGTATAGAGAGACACATGGCTCTGCCTCATGGCAGGAGCTTCCAAAATATGTTCCTCATCAAAATGCCAGGATCCTCTTTTCTTTTTCTTTTTTTTTTTTAGGAACTGCAATTTGCACTTCTGCTTTTCTTAGGTGATACGTATGTGATTTAAACCCTCGTGCACCCTGAGCTGTAGTTTCAAGAGCATTTTAAAACAATTAGCACCCTGACAAGAAAAATAGCAAAACCACAATTCCATTGCTCACAGACTTCAAGGGAGATTGAGCGTAGCATTCTTCCTTGGGGAAGAAATGACATGCTCCCCAGTAACCCAATGCCAAACCACTGCTCTCTGTTTTGAGTAGCAAATGCCATTCTTACTGCGTCGAAAAGCCCAGACTGTGTTTCTTTTCTTAACGTGAAGTTGTGTATTTTGGTACTGCTCTCAAACAACAGTTTAACAAAACAAAGGAGTTATCTTTATGAGACAGCCAGGGAAATACACAAAGAACAGGAAGATGCAGCTAACCTAAATAATGACATTGAAAACAAAATAACTATTGGGCTATAAATAAACAATATGAAGTAAATATAATAATTTTTATTAAGAGAAGACACAGACTTAATTCCTGGGGATAATGACATCTACTGTTTCCTCAGACTTTAGTTCTCATTTTCTCAGTCAAACTACAGAGTAACATTTCCTACTTTCTTCAACTTTTTACAGTATGAACTTTCATACCACTTCTTTTGGAGAAAATTGCAAAACCCAGACACGTATGTTCAGGAGAAAGGTCAGATTTTTCTAAAACAATAAAATTGCCCAAACTGCTATTTTTGAACTGTGCAAATCCCTGCGTTCTTCCAGGGCAGGGAAGTAAACATACATACGACTGCATTAATTAAGACAATACTTAGTTTCCTGCAACACAAAGGAATTTTCTTACTTAGCCTAAGTCTTTAACTATGCGATCTCCCATTGTGTGTACGTGAGTGCAAAGCAGCAACCACAGTTTCACAAAAAGCCAAGGGCTGGTCCTGACTTAGTGGGTGAATTAAATAATCTCCTAAACCAAAGCCAGAATCAACTTTCTGAGCGCCAGACTCAGCCACTCCAGCCATCTCACTTTCGGTAATACAGTCCTAAACGTCCTGCGCAGAAGCCTGATTCACGTGCTTTTTTTCCTGGGGATTGTCCTGTTGAGTATTTTGGGCAGGAAACGGGCCTGATCTGTTGACTTACAAGATTTAAAATAAGCACTCGTGTTTCCCCCTCCCAGTCATGACCAGCAGCACTGGGCTGAATCACTTTCCCGCTGGAGGCAAGAAATGCATGAGAGCAAAGTGCTCGAGAAGTGGCTGAGCGATCGGGAAACGCTCTTGGGCTGACACACAGTTAGCAAAACCCACGACCGACACCGGGAAAACGTCAGGGCACGGCACCGGTCCCCATCCCTCAGGCTTTACCTGCTGGCGGGCGAGTGGCTGGGGGGGATCTCTTGCACAAAGCTCTGCTCCATGCCCGGGATCCTGGCCGGGCTGTGGGGATGGTAGGCTGTCAGGACCACGCTGCCCGAGTCCTTCATCTCCATGGTCATCGGCACATGTCGGCCCCGCTGCTGGTGCCAAAGTCTCCCGGGGGTGCCGACGGGCCCGGCGGAGGGCGAGCAGCCCTGTCACGCGCGCCAGCGCATGGCCTGGCTCCGTAGCAGCCTCCCGCCACTGCTGTCAGGAGAGCTGTGTGACCGAGACACGGCTCCTCTCCCTGACAGGAAAGCTGAATTAGCGTATATTCAAAAACGCCGCCCACAAAACAACCCACGAGGAAGTTAACTACGTTCCTAGGAAACCAGAAACCTGAGATAATCCTGCGCGGCACTGAGCGCTCGCCGGGAAACCTTCTTGCTTGCTTTCTTTTTGTTTGCTTTTAAGAGTGTATTCCTTAATACTCCTGCCCCTGAAATAGGCTCGACCAAGTGAAATCGTTTGCCTGTTAAGCGGCAGGACGAGTGGAGAGCGCTACTCAAACACAAAGCGTCGTTTGGCAAAGCAGGGAGTGACATTAAGGTGTCCCACGAAAGATTCAGAAACCAAGTGGGCTCTGCTCTGTGTAAGGAGCAGCGACCTTGATATCCTACATGCCGGATCATTTCTGGGGCAGGGAACTGCGCTTGCTTTCTCCTAAAAACAGATTAAGCTTTAATTTTTCCTGATATGGCTGTGTACATAATTAGAAGGGAAGCGAGTGAATTATTTTTACAATTGTGTGTTTTCATCTGGAGCAATCCTATAAATAAATACACCCCGAGACGCTTGATATTTTCTCATGCTTGCGCTTGATCTTTGTATGCTAATTAAATGTTTTTCACTCAAAAAGGAAATCAGCAAGCCAAAATATTGGGGTCCAATACTGGAATAACACCCAGAGAAAACACTGTAGACAAAATAAGAAAACTCATACATCCCTTTATTTTCCTCTCCCACTTCCTCAGTGCTTGGAGGTTTTTTGAAAAGATATGTTTCTGATAAAAGCTTATTCCTGAAAACTATGAAACCATGTGAAGGATGTCCCTAATTTTACTCTATGAGCCACAGGTCTCTGAGCACCTTGTGAGCAGGTGGGTGAAACACCAGCCTCGGGGCACCTTTGTCACAGCTGCCGGCAGCATCCCCGGGGTAGGTTCTGTGCACAAATGTCCTTCCCCTTGAGTGAAGGTCCTCTCCCTGGGGCTGCTCTAGGACTGCCTAAGTTACAATGTCCGTCTCTCCATCTCAGGTTTTGAAGGCAAAAAAATAATTAATCTCATTTCCACCTTCCCCCTGAGCTTGATATCCCACGGAGAGGGAGATGACTGTTTGAGTCCAACATGTTGCTGCGACTGGTGTAGGCAGTGCCCAAGTCAATTTTAAATTAGCCAGCGTAGGACACCGATAACAGTACACTTGGCAGCACTTTTTGCCAGACCCACCCAGGAAGCATAAATATTTGAACATGCAGAGCCTCTAGGCTTGCTCTTGCTACCCTGTTAACATATCCTGGACTAAACATTTCAAAGCCAGGTTGCCCAGGATAAAATCATGGTTGCTTCCACGGCAGCATGGAGGCCCCTCTGGGACCCACCATGTACATAAGTTTAGAAATGAAGGAGAAGGCTCTAGGCTAACTCTGGAAGCATTGCCTGCTGCCCACGGCATCAGGACTCTATCCCACGGTGCCGCCAGCAAGGACCGGGTGAATGCAATAACCAGTGAAGACCCCCTTGTGCTCTGCAATTACTGGGGTATTCAGGAGAGGGATAGGGCTGAAAAATTAGGATCAATGCCATCATGGATCTCATATCCCAACTCTGTGGAGCACCGACTGAATGCCAAGTTGATGTCTGGCTGCTGGATGACCAGGGATGCTGCTGCTGGTGTCATTTTTTTCCCTTCTTGCCCTGACTTTACATTCCCCTTCCTGGACCAGAAGGTGGGTACCCCACTTCTCTGATGAGGGAGAGCAAATTATAAATATAAATTTGTATTTGGCACAAGTGGAAATAGATATTTTGAAATTTAATCAGCCAAAATGCCAATTAACTGAGATGCTGATCAAACTGAGAGAGAGAAAAAAGTTAATAAACATATAATATAAAATATCTGCTGACACCCTTTAAGGGCATTCTCCACAATTTACTTCAAGACACTAAACGCCTGAAGAAACACACGGAGTGGAAGGCACCAAACTCTATCAGAAAGGGAGCAGGTGTCCTTTAGGACATCAGGATGTGGACAAAATACTGGCTGCAAATCCAGGAAAGTCTTTTTTCTCCCCTTCCTGGCATGATAGCAGTAGATTTTCTCCAGTACTATCAGACAATACAATTATGGTTATGTGCTTTAAGCTATGCGCAGATAAAGCCCAGAGTAGAAATAGTATATACCTTTAATATTATTTTTATTTGCTGTCTTCCCATAATAAAAAACCCCAACTACCAATATGACTTAGAAAAAATACAGTTACCCTCTCAATAGTAAAATGCATATAAAGAAAGGAGACTCACACTTCTTAAATGGGATTTTCTCTCTAAGAAAAATAAACAAGGAAGATTTTATTTGCAGATTTATAAAGTGCTGGTGGACAAACTGGAGGCTTGTATGGAAAAGGCAGACTATTTGGCACAAGCACAAATAGATATTTTGAAAATTAATCAGCCAAAATATATATCAAACTGAGAGCTAAAAATGTTTATATGCGTAATGGTTCTTGGGGTTAGACATCTGCATATTATTGAAAACTAAAAATGTTGCTAAATCAACTAGTGATGCACATCAGTCACTAAATAAAGTTTAACTGGGCAAGTGATGCAGCCGTAAGAAAAGTGTACAAAGCAACATGGGCCAGATTCTATCATCAGTTCTATCTGTGCAATTCTGTTAGTTAAAGAAGAATTTATTCTCCTCATTTCTAAAGAAGCAAGTAGGAAAATATTTTAATCCAATATGTTTGTGTTTCCACAGGATCCCCTTCAATACTAGACCGTGGAGTACTCGGGACTATGGCGGTTCTAATTGGTGTCTTTTAGGTAGTTGGTAGCTCTGCAGACCTTTCCAATACTCTGGAAATGCCATTTTGGTGAGAAATAATATTGTGAGGATCCTTTTGATGGCAACCAGTGAAGCGAAGGTGCAGTGAGAGAAGAGCCTTTGGGGAGTCTGCAGCCCGTGAGCAGCTCCCTCGGGGCTGGTAGGCAAGGACCTTGTGCTTTCAAATTTTACGTTGTGCTTGTGCCAAAGGGAGTGCTTTGCACTTTCACAAATCTGGCAAAAGAATTATTTATATATGGATCAGTGGGTCCAAGCTTTGAGAACTAGGAATGAAAAATCTTTATTAACCTATTGCTTCAGAAAGGTAAGTTAGTGGCTACCTAGTTGTGTGATCAAACCTTCAGCTCTTCTCTTGAAGACTATCTATGACAGCCATATACAAGGAGTATAAACACACAGAAACTCACTAGTTAAACCTTACTGCTAGGAGAAAGAAATTGTCATTGTTAATAATATTTATGTATTTACATAATATTAATTAAAAATTATTGTGGCAGTAACATGATGGGTAACCTCTGTGTAGCAAATTTAATGTCTGTTGCTTGGAAAGGAACTAATAATGATTTCACATAGATTTTAAAGAGCCTTTTCTGGTTAAGTCCAAGGGGTGCTGGCACCAAAAGGAATGGGGTTTGTCACCTAGGAGTTCTTGTCCCGAGATGGCGGGGGCATGCACCATTATATCATAAGAGCAGACCCACAGAGCCCTGGGAAGCACAAAATTCCCCTTTGAACTATGCATCACACAAAAACCTCTAAGTATTGAATGTCATTGCTTGCTTCCAGTTTAAATTAGCCAGGAGAAAATTGGACAGAATTCACAAAACTTTGAAGTTAATTTTGGACTGGTTTAACGTAAACTTGGGTTAGATTAGGTTTTAAAAGGAAACTGTGTAAAACACAGCATTTTTCACTGATTAAATCAAAGGAAATAGAGTGGAGCAATATGTAGAAAAATGTCATCCTAGCACTGCGTCTAAATTTCCTCATCCCTGTTGCAATAAATTTTGTATCTATCTATGTGAAAGAAACCAAAACCAGAACCACTGTATTTCTCCATACTTTGGGGGGGAAAAAAAGGAGGGTATCTTTTACTTGTCTCTAATTTGTCATTTGAATGGAAAGATGCTGAAGGGGTGGGGGGCAGAAAGACTCACCACACCAAAGAGGTGGTGTGGGCAAAAACCACCTGGGCACTCTGAAAACAAGGAGTGCCCCAACGTCGCATAGAAGTCAAGGACAGTGGTGTGTCAGTCTCCTCCGGCTCAGTACCAAAACCTCCCCTGAAAAACGTGTCTGAGACGGGGCTGACTCCTGTGTCAGGAAAATTTTCACTGTGGCTTGAGGTCTATTTCCTTTGAAAGAATTCTATGCATCATGACGGATGGTTTCTAATCCTTGATTCAGGCTCTGTGCTTTCTATTCCTGTGATGCCGGAAGGATTACAGCCTTTTTTTTCCACTATGAAGGTGAGGTGTTTGTGTGCCTTGGTGTGGGCAGCTGGGAATGTGAGCGAATGGGGGAGATTCATTGGTGGCATCAAAACACACCCACTGCTTTTAGAACATTGAAAAAATCGTACACCAAAAAATAAACAAAATTAGAGGAAAAATCATTGTTATTCTTCTTTCTTTGCCTTTTCAAACTGAGATTAAAAACAACATTGAGAAAACTGTTGCTTGCCCTTTACGAGCAGGTTGAGTAGCAAGGCTATTTAGGCAAAGAGAATAGAAATCAGGTATCGTGGCAATTGGTGGTTTTTCAAAGGTTTTTAATTAGAGTATGAAACAGAACATTCATCTTTGTTAAATATAACCTCACGTATTTCAGTCCTGGGCCCAGTTTAAATATACATCAGACTTTGGTGAAATTTAACATGATCATTTTTTAATTAAGTGATTTACTATGGATTCTTTTATCTTAAAAATGATACCAAAAAAAAGAAAAGAAAAAAATTCTTTAGGCAACTTTGTGTAGCTACTTGCTTAGCAATGACCCTCATTTATTTTCTAGGAGTT